ACCCGTGCCACCTAGCGGTGCCCTAGGGAAAGGTGTCGACGAGGCAGACCACCCCCCAGCAAAGGACAAAGAGGTTTTCATTAAGGGCTTTTTTAAGGAATCATCAGTGAGTAACAGCCAAACTACTAAAAAATTTCGGCCTCTGGAGGTGCTGGTCTTCTCCTGATGGAATCATGTGGTGATGGATGTCAGATGGAGGCTAACATAAAATAAACAGTGAAAAAAAAGTTAAAGCAGGTAAAGCTGCATAAAAGAAAACCCCATAAAAATAAGGTCAGTGTGCGGAAGAATACTCCTTGACGTACTTGAATTACGTGTTCGGCTTAACAGAAAAATCAGATAAATAAATGAGTTGTCAACAAGACACCTGCAGTGTTAGAAATTATTAGGAAAGTGAGAATAAAATTCACGTCATTATATTGCTGTATAAATTCAAGATTTTCCCATATTTTTAACTTCTTACCCATAAACCTAGAGAAAAGCACGGAGAAAGAAAATACAGGCAGTCATCGATTTTACAGTTGTTTTGAGAGAGACGGTATGCGTAGGGCTTCCAAAGAGGCACTCCGCACTATTTTAAACATACTGTATTGATAGCTTTGGAGCATACTCAGTCTCTGAGTTCTGACAAGCCAAATGGCACCGCACTGCCCTGCTGCAGGAAAATTTGTCCAGACAGGGTTGTGAAATTCTTCACCAGACATGGATGGTTTCACATGCAGAACTTCCATTAAAAGACAACTCAAGAGGTCTGTGCTAGTTTGGCTCATTTATTTAAATATTTGTCCGCCTCCTTGTCTGTAACCTCCTACCAAGGCAAGGTGCGATTCGTTTCAGGAGACAAGGACAAGATTTTAAAAACCTCATAATTTCGCTACTTGATTTTTACTGTATCAAATCAGATAATTAAGGGATTTATTTTGCCTTACCTTAGGGAATCTGAAGAAAACAGCATCTTCCATTATCAGTTCTTTTCAGTGGCTTTCTGAGGCCTTCCTGTGATTGGACTGTGTAAGTCTTGCTCTAATGGAGAACAGCTATTTGAGACTGACCAACATAAATTCTTATGATGCCACGATGCCATCCTCCTTAGTGACATTGGAAAGATAGCAATTGATATCAAAGAATTGGGCTGTGCCTTACTCACAGTAGCATTTAGAGAAGTGGCTTCTAAACCAGGAGAGGCACTAGG